ACATCACAAACAATTATTAGTGTACTAACTTTAGTTGGTGTTTTAAGCTACTCCAGGGTGAGGGGTGGGGTGGGAATAGGTTCTTTATGGCATCATCTCATTGGATCATCTGCTGACAAAGCATATTTTTAAAGCCTAACCATAATCACTCTAATTAGGCCATCAAGTGTCAGGACTTGCTGTGGGAATTTGATTAATTCTAGCCATCTCTGTGGTGTAACTGATGCTGCTTGCATTAAAGGAGTGACTCTTCCCTGAAAGCTATTTCCTTACGTTTATGGCCTCCCCTCTTCCACTTGACTGTATTGAAAAAGTCGTGAGGAAAGATTGCAAGATGTCCTCAGAAGTCTTAAAACTTCCTTTCAGCTGGGAGTCAAATCACATCCAAACCTTTTACATTCCAATATAACTACTGCCTTTACATCTTTATGTGGCCCTTAATTCATAATATAAATTGTAGCATGGAAAAAAGGCTGCTCACATATGTCTAAGTAACTTTGTGCTACTTCAACAAAATTCCTAGAAACTAGGTAATTTATAAAGGATAGAAATTTTTTTCACAGATCCATATGCTGGGAGGTTCAAGACCAAGTAGGACTAGTTGTCTGGTGAGGGTAATTCTCTGTTCTGAAGCAAGCACCTTCTTGCTGCATTCTCTAGAGGAGTATTGTGCCCTCACACTCCCTACATTAACCCCTTTTAGTAGGATTTCTGATCTCCTTCAGGAGGGTATTCTCATCACTTAAGTGCCTTTTAAAGACACCATCCCCCAATACTATCCCTGTGGCAACACCTGAATTTTGGAGGAAATACAGCCTAACTATATCTGTGAATAGACTGAAACCAACTTATTGGGGACTGGGGCTCCCTCAAACAAAAGCCCTAGAATCAAAATCTGAGGTTTCCCAGAGAAAAAGAAATTGTGCCTTAAGCCAAAAATATAGATGTTTGGGGCTCAAGAATACAATTTCAGTCTGATGGCCTTATAAGATTTTAGATTTTCCAGCATCAAAAATCACACAAGCCCATTGTTCAACATCAACCAATCTCTCTTCAGCTCTCCTTTCCTATCTTCTCCTCCCTTACCCTCTGCCTCTCCTCCCCTTACTAATACTTTTAGGCCATATTCACGAACAAAGGCATGTTTCTCTGCTGGCCCAGAGAGTATCAGAGTGTTGTCAACAATGTAACAATGGTATCTCTCCTGCATAGCAGGAAAAATTTTCACAAGAAGGGTCCAATAACAAGCTCTACTGGAGCTCAGAGTGTATATGGCCCAATTAAGTAAGATGTAACCAAATTCTAACTTTTCCAATAAAGAATTTGAGACGTTTTAGTATTTTCCTCTGAAAATGGTCGCCATGTTTGGGCCATCAGGTTGTGGCAGAAAGAAGCATTTCAACAAGGAAACAAACTCAAGAGTAGGCAACTAGTATTTGCAGATTCCAAGGCTTCACTCATGGAAAAAGATTGTAATATGACTTTTTTTTTCTTAGTGGCTCTGAGGCTTGAATTCAAGACCTGGCTCTTGCTCATCTTGCTAGGCTGGCACTCTACACTGGAGTCACAATCTCACTTTCAGATATGAGACTTTGTTTTTACATAATAAAAATATAATGAAGACTATAAATTTATACTGATGGTTTGATCTCAGGGTGACGGTATTAGGAGGTAGTAGAACCTTTAGTAGGTGGGGCTAGCAGGAGGTCCTCAGGTCATGGGGAGCATGGTCTTGAAGGAGTCTGTGACTCTGGCTGCTTTTTCTCCTTTATTTCCTAGCCATGAAGTAAACAGTTTTGCCATGCCACCTGTTCCTTACCATTGTCATCCAATATGAGTTAATATTGTGGATTCACATGAACATGAATTGGATGCTTCAAACCCATGAAGCAAAAATGACTGTTTTCTCATAATTATCACAGGAATTCCATTATAGTAATGGAAAGCTGACAAAAAATATGCCTAAGTGCTTTTAGAATTAACAAGTTTTAGAACTCACTTGCTTGACATAGAATGATCCTCAACTGTTAAACATTCCTCCTGATCATTAAAAAGATCCTTCTATGTCTACCATAAATGTGATGGCTTTAGGTCAGGCACTGGTAGGGGTGGCTCCTACATGTAATTCTAGCTCCTCAAGAAGGCTCAGTTGTAGGGATCGTGGTTCAAAGTCAGCCTGCATAGGAAAGTTTGTAAGTCTCTTATCTCCAATTTACCACCAAAACAGCTGGAAGTGGAGCTGGGGCTCAAGTGGCAGAGTGCTAGCTTTGGGCAAAATAGCTCACAAACTGTGCTCAGACCCTGACTTTAAGCTCTAGGACTGGAGCTCTTGAACATGCACACACACACACACACACACACACACACAACGCACGCACGCACACACGCGCGCACACACACACACGCACATGATGGCTTTGTATTCAGATTCAAACTAGACAGATAAATTGAGAAAAGGGTACCTGAGACAGTTCTGTTTTTAATGTGAACTTCTCTCTGCACCCAAAGAAACTTTTTAACAGGGTTTTTAAATAAACTTTTCATAAATTTAAATTTTATAGTTATTTAATAAAAAATAACATGACAAAAAATAAAAATAAAAAGTGACAGATTTTGCTAATAATTATTTTTGCTTTCTGTGATTTAGAGGATTAATCACAGCAAAGCCTCGCCTCTGTTGTGGTGGCTCATTTTCAAAGAAATCTCTTGTGCTAACGCAAATTATACTTATTAACACACAATACCAGTGAACATTTAAAGTTAAACGTGAAAGGAAAATATATGTATATGTGTGTACATATATATAAACATGTAATTATATCAACTTCATTTCTTAGTCCAAACTGCTATAACAGAATACCATACATTGGCTTATATAAAAGAAATTTCTCACAGTTTTGGAAGTTGGGGAGTTCAACATGAAGGTGCCAACATCTCCCCAATGTATGGTGAGGGTGCACTTCCTAGTTTGTAGTCTGTCTTCTTATGTGCTCTAGCAAAAAGCAAAAAAAAAAAAAAAAAGTGGTCACCTATCTTGCGCCAACTTCTGAAGCCCTACTCTCAAAATCTAATCACATCCCAAAGACCTAACAACAACCCCCATCATTGTGGTGATTTAATCTTCAAGATATGAACTAGGGGTGTGAGGCAAATTCACTGCAGAAAAACCTCTCAAAACATTCCTTGAAAAAGATTCCCACTTTACTAGATCAATTGTTTTTTGCTGTTGTTCCTTGATTTGTGATTTTGAATATATGAAGCACATAAATATGAAAGGCTACTTGAAGACCATAGATAGGGCTAAAGAAGAGCAAGGTAAATTTTGAAAGGCACAAAAACAATTCCATTTGGGTGAGAAAGAAAAAGAGAAGAATTTTGGATATACTGATTCCATTTTGCAGTGTCCAGTTACGCTGCGTTTTCAAACTTAGTTTTCAAGAGTTCAGGTTTTTGGCATGTTTTGTTATGGTTATTTCTTTTTTTATAATATGTTGTATGTCTGGACCAGCTGAGTCATAGATTTATAAAAATTCAAAAGAACATTAGTTCTAAGTTTATTAATTTCTGGACACATTTTGAAAACTGTTGGTGACTTTTTTTTCCAAGTAAATTTATTGTACTAGTTTGGGAGATTTATATCTAGTACTGCTCCATTTTTATATCTACTACAATTCAAAATTATCATTTTGAATCGCCATAGGTGATGCACCTACAGCAGTAGTTTAAAAAAAAATCTTAAAAGATCCATAAAACAGGGCTGGAAAGTAGGTTCCCAGGCCTAGTGGGCGATAAGGAATCTGGTCAATATATAACTTTAACCATCAGTGCTTGGGGAAGTTGTAGTTTAGCTTGTTCAAGCTTCCTTTTTTTTTGGGGGGGGGGGATCATGACTCTCTGTTGCTCTATTGGCCCACACTGGGGTCTTGGAAAGTGTGTTCACAAGGCTGGGGACCCGGGGGGAGAAGCAGGGCTTTCTCTTCTTGTTCGAGGAGTTCGTGTTCCCGTTGCATATTTATACTTGGTCAAACATTAACTCTGAACCTCGGGACGCACCTCTGAGTTCGCAGCGTCTCGGCAATGACCTGTGCTCCGCAGGCTTCGTTTCTGCGGCCCACACGCGGCCCCGAGCCTCCCGGGCCGGCCCGCGGGCAGGACCCGGTCCCGC